CAATCAATATTTACGTAATTTACATTTTTTCTTTATTACGTTTTCGTACATTTACATAGTGCTTCCTGTAATGTACATATTTAATTTATTTATCTACAATTAGTCTGAACATTTTATGTTGCACTAAATTGTTTATGTTTATCTTACATGTTCAATTATCAGTAATGATTACATTCTCCATCCATGTACTAACGGTTTTTACCGTACTACGGTATTCGGTAGACACTTATGTTACTAAGTCACGCACAGGACCGGCTTTATTTAGATTATAAATGATAGTGATTTTCTTAAAATTTACACCTTCCAAAGGTCGCAACTTAATTCTGTTACACCCTGTATGTGGGAGATTCGTACCTGCGAGGGAATATGAGCTTTATACAATTGCATTAACTTTTAACATTTTAGAGAGCAGTAGACGATGCGAGAAAGAAGTGTCACCCACGAGCCATTGTAGTTATTAATCCTGGCAATCCTACAGGACAAGTCCTTACCAGACAAAACATTGAAGATATCATTAAATTTGCGTACAATGAACAGTTGTTTATGTTAGCTGACGAAGTCTATCAGCACAATGTATACGCAAAAGGGTCTGCATTCTTTTCATTTAAAAAGGTAGTTCAACGAAGTTTAATATGCGTTAAGACAAGAACAATAATTGAAATTATACCATAGGTAATGATGGAAATGGGTGAGCCGTATAATAAAATGGAACTAGCTAGTTTCATGTCTTCTTCAAAAGGATATATGGGAGAGTGCGGTTTGAGAGGAGGGTATGTCGAGGTCGTGAATATGAACCCTATGGTAAAAGCGATGTATTTAAAAGCAATAAGTGCAATGTTGTGCCCTACCGTCCTAGGTCAAATTGTCATGGATGCTGTTGTAAATCCACCTCGAGAAGACGAACCCAGTTACGAACTGTATATGAAAGAAAAAAGTGCTGTATTGGACTCTCTAAAGGTAAAGGAATCTTTAATATCGTATTAGCAAGGGCGGCCTTTGGGGGTGGCGAGCAGGGCAACCGCCCGGGGCCTCGCTCTTGCAGGGACCTCGCGCACTCGCGCAACAATATTAGATAGTACCTATTTGAATTTCTTAATAGTTTTAAAAAAATCCGCAAATTTGCCAGTTTTGTGTTTATTATTATTATTTTTAAAGCCGCCTTTGATATTGACTAAATCTTAGACTATTGTGTCTACCAGAGCCACCCCCATTTGTAACGACCAATGAAGCTGGTCATCCATAATATTTAGGAAGTGACTCCTTCACTCTATCACCTTTACTTACATATTTAAGTTTACTTAAGTTTTTTGTTTTCTAAGAGAGATCATATAATTCTAAGACAGATCACATAATACAGAGACAGCCAAGATAGTTTAAAACAAACGGGTTCGATGTACATAGTCCATGGTATAAATTAAAGTGTACAGTAGATGTAAGTTCAATACAAAATTCAGAACAAATTAAACGTCTATGCGTTCTTATCTCAATAACAAATTGCACCGCTAATTAATTTTGGTGGTGCCGCTTTATTCTGCACTACTAATATAGTTAGCAGAAGGATATTTATTGCCTGATACGAGCCCTTACAAAGGCTAAACCCACCCGAACAGTTATGTAATAAAAACTTTTTAAGAAAAAAATTAAACCGCCGAAAAAACTGAAAAGCAAAAAATAATAAACCATTATTTTATTAACCTTAATGACTAAGTTCTTCAACTAATACCATGGTAATTTTGAGTCGGCGCTAAACAATCAATAAACAAAGCTCACTAAATTAATCAAATTAACAATGCAATAGTTATTTCTTTAAATTTAAGGTAATTTAGTGATCTTTGTTTATTGATTGTTTAGCGCCGACTCAAAATTACTTAGGTATATCTACTTGCATTAATTGAAGAACTTAGTTATTAAGTTCATAAAATAAAGGTTTATTATTTTTTGCTTTTCAGTTTTTTCGGCGGTTTAATTTTTTTGTTAAAAAGTTTTTATTCATTAGTGTTGCGCAAAAAAAGCTTTATAGATAGCACTTACCTTTATTCAAAGACGATCACAAACTTCCACAATGATCCTTCTTCGTTCAGGACACTTCCTGCTGTTAATTTTTCGCAATATTTTGACTTTTACAGCATAATAGAAACGTTTTAGGGAAGAAATATGTTCGATGAACAAAACAGTTATATTTTTTTGTATTTCCTGAGCAAAAAATTAGAGCATACAAAATCCGTAAAATTGTATAAATATATAATACAAAACTTACACAATAATAAACATTGCAAGATTAAAATTACTATAATTAATAGTCTGCCAGAAGTTAATGGCACAAAATTAAAACAAAAAAGAAAAAAAATAAATCAAATAAAATAAGTACAATGTAAAAGTCGAACAGTAGTAAAACTTAGCGAAAATAAGATGTGTCAGTACAGGTACCGTATGCTTTTAGTTAGTAATTAATTACAGAATTGTTTTTTGTGACATCCAACTCTCTAGACAATGGGAAACTTAGAAAATAATTACATGGCACGTTAAGGCTCACGATGGTAATTTTTAGACGATTTTTTCTTTTTCAAATCTTTATAGGAATGCAGTTTCATTAATTACAACAAAACACCTGGATATATATATGAAGTTAATTTTTTCGAAAACCTATTAAAAAACTTTCTACTCGTACAAGAAACAGTTGAACTATCTGAAAATCAAGCATTTGCCAAATTCATTCGTATATTAAATTGTTAGACATTAAAACTGTAATTTGAAAAACTGGACTGCTAAATATTGAATCCGTCGTCTCTTGAAACCTGAAATTAAAAATTTATATAATTCAAACTTCCGACTTTGCAGTAGGTAACTATGAAGCATAATCAATAAATTAGAAAAAAAAATTAATCCAATTTATAATCTTTATAAGGGGACCATCAAATGAACCAGCAATTATTATTAATAAAATAATTTAGCACTCAGTTTAAAACAGCATTTAAGAGCGAGAAAACGGACTATTGTTGACCTATTTTTCCGGTCGCTCTGTAATAACTACATTGGAACAAGAAAAGTGGCACCAGGGGTCTCTCGAAAAAGTTTTTTTGATGAAAATTTCATCATCCTGGCGTTCTTCCCTCATTTCATTAATGTAAAATTTTATCAAGAGTTATCTGTCTTTTGAAATGGATTTTTGTCGAAAAAATCGGCTTTTTCTTGGAAAAGACATTTAAGGTTTGATCACACATTGACAAGGCGAGCACTGGACGTGCACGAGACGAATGTCGTACGAGATAGCTACCTAAGGGAGAATAATCGAAGAAGTTACAGAGTCAACTACCTAGAATTGGTACTGCAAAAAAGCATTGGGATAGATGGACACAAAAAAAAACTGAGGAAGAAAGCATTAGGGGCATAAAAAAAGGAGAAAGAGATCTCAAAGAAAGCTGGAGAAAAAGAATGTTATTATTTGAGACATTGATAGAGAACATATTATGTATTGCACGGAGCGAAAATGTGAGGTGTGGAGAAAGAAAAGAAATTGAAAGCATTCAGGATAGAAATACACTGAAATATTCTACAAGAAGAGGCTTAAAGTAAATTCAGAATACAATATGATTTTAAAAGAATGTATAAAAATTAAGGACAATACTTTGAATATTCAAATCGCAGAAAAAGAAAATCACAAGGAAGAGATGGAAAAAGGAAAAAAAAATAATGAAAAAGGATGGGCAATTAAGTATTACAAATAGAAACTGGAAAAAAGTGGAACTGTATGGAGAAGTAAAAGAGTAAAAAAAAAAAGAGAAACCTAAAATTCGCGCAGGAATACAAGACAATATGAAAGGAAAGGGAGGAAAATCACATTAGGTAGGTACTTGAAAGACTTTNCTACCTCTTAGGGATAACCCACAATAACCATTTTTATCCTTTACTTTTTATGTAAAATAATGACTTATTTACGAAGCGATTGTAAGCAATTCAGCATTAATTCTTATCCAATTAAGTACCTCAAATACATTGTGCATTTAATATAGATCAATATGGCCCTTTAAAGCATGTAATTTAAATGAATAGTTTCGAAGATATTACAGATTTAAAATGCAGGGACATAGCGGTTGCGGCGGTACCGGATGGGAGGCCGGTTTGTATTGTCTAATGACAAAAAAACTGTGAATGTTGTATATAAAGACATTCTGTAGTATATTTAGTATGTTCAGGGGGTATCTTTTGAAGATTTCCCCTTATCAATAATAATCTAAACAAAACAAAAATATACATATTTAATAACAGCATTGCACCTGTGCGAAGCTAGTTTCCTATATATGTATGTTAACCCTATAGTGTGATGAATAACAAATTTAGTAAATGTTCAAATCAAAAGCGAGCCCGGATCCAAGCGTTATTCTGGAATTACATCATCGAAATTTTAATGGAATTATTCCAATGTATTAGTGTCTTACTAAGTAGTATCAGACATAACAATATTATTTCGAAGTCAAATTTTAATTTGACATAAAACCGAATTTCAGTAACTGTAACCTTTAATAAATAATATTCAGTTGAATAGATTGCAAATTAACGGTCAGTAATAAAATATTTAAAGACCTAATCAACCGTAAATTATATTGGTTATTTATGACTAGGACTATGTATGAAGTAAATTATGAAGTTTTCATCGAAGCCTTTAATAAAATAATAGTGAAACGATTATGGGTAACAATAAATTATACGGATCTATAAACAACACTATTGTAAAGCTAAGGACAATCAGTCATCAAACATTCAATAAAACATTGTAGTCAATGCATTTAAAATGAAGTAATATCTTTAATTTCTGATAAACAATATTCTTTTAACTTACATGGGTCATCGCGTAGAAATCCGTATCAGAAGCTCATGAAGACTCGGTAAGTAAAAACACCAAATAGTTGTTCCAGTGATGAAAGACTTCATAGGTTTATCACTTCTGCAATTTTGAAAAACTAACACCACACGGTGAAAAACACAATTAAAAGATTCGAATGCACGTATCTGAATGTTATTTCTATTTTCTGTTAATCGGAATTGTCTTAAATAAATATTCTTGTTGAGGCGAATTTATTGACACCGGCCACCATTCAATACTACGTAATAACTTACGAATTAACCACCAGAGTTGTTGATGGCGTGACATTCTTTGTTTACTTCACAGCTAGTATAACAACTTAAACCGTTTATTAAATCATCTGAAAAGCATGATTGCAAATAACTTTTATTAATTTAATTAACTTAATTTGTTCCAAATTTTTTAAAACTATTCAAAAATTAATTGCCCTTTATTTAGTTTTCTTACTAAAAAATAAATCTTTATAGTCATAAATTATGTTACAAATTTCCTGAAATTGTACCATTTACTTACGACAATCTCTTCGCATATATTTATCAGTAGGTACCTTTTTGTAAATATGCGATTTTCAGGTATTTTTGCCCATTTTTACCAAATACCATATTTAAAAAGTACCACTTTACCTATGCGTTGTTGTAATATTGGAGGGCGGATTTTTATGCAATTATCACTTACTTCTGACGTCAACCCTTATATGACGCACTTTTTAAATTTATAAAAAATAAATAGAAAGAAATCAATTGATAGATTATGTTAAATGGAAAAATGAAGTTACCTATTGCGTACTTCTTATAATACATAAATTACTTTAGGGTTCGACTTACGATGATAAAGTATTGCTATATGTATAAATTCCGATATTGTTTAAATTTTTTGCTTTGTTCTTTGTCTTCCCTAGACAAAAATTATCAGTCTCTCAGAGTCTTTCAGCGTCTCTGAGAGCGTCTCTCACAGTCTCTCAGTTATTGAGTAGGTGTTTTTATTGATCATTCAAAGTCTCTGTATGAGAGACTCGAACGATAAAATTGTTAATTCAGAGATTCGAGTTTCTCACAGAGAGACTGAATGAATAAAACTGAAAAACTGAGAGACTCGGGTCTCTCGTAGAAAGACTGGGATCTCTGAAATATGTTGAACTTGAATGAGAAAATTTTAACCATGTCTATCAAGACACCATATATTGAGAGATTCGAGTCTCTCATTCAGAGATTCGAGTCTCTCGTTCAGAGTTTCGAGTCTCTCGTTCAGAGATTCGAGTCTCTCGTTCAGAGACTGGATACGAAATGAGGATCTCTCAATGAGCGACTCGAGTCTCTCGTTCAGAGATTCGAGTCTCTCGTTCAGAGACTGGATACGAAATGAGGATCTTTTTAAAAGAGCGATTAAAAAGTTTTTTTGACAGTCTCTCTCAGCGACACCAGAGAGACTCAATGAGAGACGAAGACTCTAGTCTCGCTTTCAGAGACTCTGAGAGACTGAACATTTTTATCTCGGGTTGCCTTGCCCCCGTCTTAAAAACTAAATTTTGTTCAGGATCATCGTCCTCAAGATAAGGCACATATCAGTGATCTAAGTATTACAAACTATTCCTTATTACCTCTTATAGCATTTTGTTATGATTTATTTAATAAAAATGCTTCTAATGTTATTTATGTAAACGGAAAGAGCAGTTATTTTCCTCCTATTCACTGAACTAAATGGCTTCATATTTTTCATCGGAATTATAATAAATTGACGTTCGTTTCTATCCTGATTTTAAAAATAATTATACCAGTCAAAGCGTATCTGCACTATTTTTCATTTGATTTGCACTTACGGTAAATAAAGCGCCACATTAATTAAAAATTCTTTGTAAAGCCGAAAGCCCGTTAACTGTCGCTTGAAATCCTACCGATGTGTGAAAAATATCGCCGCTTGTTTGCTTACAAACTTGTGCTTATTAATTCATTCCTAGCCGATTTTGATTGATACAAAATGCTAATTCGAGTGAAAATTAATTGGATCGTTCAAGTGTTTCCAATGTTTTTTTTTTCTCAGTTAATCGGCGTAATCGCCAGGAATGCCGTATTTCTAAAAATATCCCAGTAACTGTAAAAAACCGGTACATTTTTCTCGTAAAGCATAAATAACTGATGTTCTTTAAATAGAATCGGAAGGACGAGAGATATCTAAATATAAACTCAATTAATGTTCATACCTGCTTGACCGCCTACTTGCTTGGAAACATTTTTTATGCGAAGAAAAACAACTTAAAGCCTCTTTTTTTCGCCCATCAGTGGCAATAACCTTAAATTGAGATACATTCCACTTTGCTTTTATCCTAGTAAGGAAAGTGTAGTTAAGTGATTGATTTTTATTGGAAAGTAACGCGATTTGAAACTGATTAAGTTGTAATACGTGTTAAGTTCCGTAGGTTGAGCAAACTAAGCATTTAAATGAGAAATATTCCGCAATTAATTCGCATTACAAGTTAAGTCTACAAAATTTTATCATTTTAATTAAATTAATCTGATAGGAAAGCAATTAATTTATTCGTTGTTTGCTGTTTTGAGGATACGGAAACCACTGCATTAGATTTATCTTCGAGTTATAAAAAAATTGTAAGACCTGTGGTTTCTTCAGGAATTACAAGCTACAACGTTGAGAAAATAAAATTCTAGAAATTACACGTGTTGTAATTTCATTTTACAATGAATTTAAATAAATTGAAAAAATCGCAATCTTTTATTTAGATTATCTATTACTTCACCGAATAAGATTCCAACAGTCCTCTCTTTCCCAGACAACCAAAATTTGACACAAATATTGGTTCTACCGAGCACTGTCTTACTGTACCTACTATTACACTATTTTAAACACTAAGTATTTTTCATTTCCACCTGACACTAATGCTAATATATGGCAGTCCCTTCAATTTATACTCCAGTGCAAAGCCGGTGGATAAGGCAGAAGACTCTCTTTAGTCTCCTATCAGAAATCGTCGGGAAAATGTAAGTGGTGGTCGGGGAGAGACTGATGAGATCTAGATCACGGCCGATAATTCCTAATAATAGATTACAGCTTACTTACACCACCTAATTGGGGTGGCGGTACACACTTGAGAATTACTCATTTACATAGAGATAACACCAATTTGGTCGCTTAAAAGATTCATTAATTCATCTTCGTTATATTATTTAGATACCGAAAAAAAGGGCGACCAAAATAATGCCAAATACACACCATTAATAATGATTCAAATTATTAACCGATGAAAAAAAGGAGGTTCTCAAGTTGACGCGTATATTTTTTTTTGTTTTTTTTTTTATGTATGACCACGCATAACTTTTTACAGAGTAATCCGATTTTGATAATTCTTTTTTTATTTGAAAGGGTGTACCCCGAAGTTGATCCCACATAAATTTGGAAAAAAATCGAACGCTAAAGGTAGGAAAACGGGGGATGATTGTTGATTCTTGCTCACTCGCTGATTGTAATGTAATGTATGACCACGCATACCTTTTGACAAAATAGTCCGATTTTAATAATTTCTTTTTTATTAGAAAGGGTTTACCCCGAAGTTGGTCCCATATAAACTTGGAAAGAATCTAACCCTAGGGATAGGAAAACAGGGGATGATTTATAGTACGAAAATAATAGTAATAGTAGTAGCAATTAGTAAATTATAGCCACAAAAAATTATTAAATAAAAACTTTTCAACAAAAAAGTGAAACCGCTAAAATACAATAAACCTTTATTTTATTAACCTCAATAACTTAATTCTTCAACTAATATAAGTATACCTAAGGTTATTGAGTAGGTGTTTNAAAGGTTTATTATTTTTTGCTTTTCAGTTTTTTCGGCGGTTTAATTTTTTTGTTAAAAAGTTTTTATTCATTAGTGTTGCGCAAAAAAAGCTTTATAGATAGCACTTACCTTTATTCAAAGACGATCACAAACTTCCACAATGATCCTTCTTCGTTCAGGACACTTCCTGCTGTTAATTTTTCGCAATATTTTGACTTTTACAGCATAATAGAAACGTTTTAGGGAAGAAATATGTTCGATGAACAAAACAGTTATATTTTTTTGTATTTCCTGAGCAAAAAATTAGAGCATACAAAATCCGTAAAATTGTATAAATATATAATACAAAACTTACACAATAATAAACATTGCAAGATTAAAATTACTATAATTAATAGTCTGCCAGAAGTTAATGGCACAAAATTAAAACAAAAAAGAAAAAAAATAAATCAAATAAAATAAGTACAATGTAAAAGTCGAACAGTAGTAAAACTTAGCGAAAATAAGATGTGTCAGTACAGGTACCGTATGCTTTTAGTTAGTAATTAATTACAGAATTGTTTTTTGTGACATCCAACTCTCTAGACAATGGGAAACTTAGAAAATAATTACATGGCACGTTAAGGCTCACGATGGTAATTTTTAGACGATTTTTTCTTTTTCAAATCTTTATAGGAATGCAGTTTCATTAATTACAACAAAACACCTGGATATATATATGAAGTTAATTTTTTCGAAAACCTATTAAAAAACTTTCTACTCGTACAAGAAACAGTTGAACTATCTGAAAATCAAGCATTTGCCAAATTCATTCGTATATTAAATTGTTAGACATTAAAACTGTAATTTGAAAAACTGGACTGCTAAATATTGAATCCGTCGTCTCTTGAAACCTGAAATTAAAAATTTATATAATTCAAACTTCCGACTTTGCAGTAGGTAACTATGAAGCATAATCAATAAATTAGAAAAAAAAATTAATCCAATTTATAATCTTTATAAGGGGACCATCAAATGAACCAGCAATTATTATTAATAAAATAATTTAGCACTCAGTTTAAAACAGCATTTAAGAGCGAGAAAACGGACTATTGTTGACCTATTTTTCCGGTCGCTCTGTAATAACTACATTGGAACAAGAAAAGTGGCACCAGGGGTCTCTCGAAAAAGTTTTTTTGATGAAAATTTCATCATCCTGGCGTTCTTCCCTCATTTCATTAATGTAAAATTTTATCAAGAGTTATCTGTCTTTTGAAATGGATTTTTGTCGAAAAAATCGGCTTTTTCTTGGAAAAGACATTTAAGGTTTGATCACACATTGACAAGGCGAGCACTGGACGTGCACGAGACGAATGTCGTACGAGATAGCTACCTAAGGGAGAATAATCGAAGAAGTTACAGAGTCAACTACCTAGAATTGGTACTGCAAAAAAGCATTGGGATAGATGGACACAAAAAAAAACTGAGGAAGAAAGCATTAGGGGCATAAAAAAAGGAGAAAGAGATCTCAAAGAAAGCTGGAGAAAAAGAATGTTATTATTTGAGACATTGATAGAGAACATATTATGTATTGCACGGAGCGAAAATGTGAGGTGTGGAGAAAGAAAAGAAATTGAAAGCATTCAGGATAGAAATACACTGAAATATTCTACAAGAAGAGGCTTAAAGTAAATTCAGAATACAATATGATTTTAAAAGAATGTATAAAAATTAAGGACAATACTTTGAATATTCAAATCGCAGAAAAAGAAAATCACAAGGAAGAGATGGAAAAAGGAAAAAAAAATAATGAAAAAGGATGGGCAATTAAGTATTACAAATAGAAACTGGAAAAAAGTGGAACTGTATGGAGAAGTAAAAGAGTAAAAAAAAAAAGAGAAACCTAAAATTCGCGCAGGAATACAAGACAATATGAAAGGAAAGGGAGGAAAATCACATTAGGTAGGTACTTGAAAGACTTTGTTTTAACAGCAAGATTTAGACTGGAAAGTAGGAATAAGGCGGAAAGCACTGAGAAGATGAAGAAGAGATGAAAATATGCAAGTTGCAAAAATTGGAACCTGAGGCACTTGAACATATCTTTGAGGGATGTGGAGTAACGGGAAATGAAGCAAAAAATGGGAAATTGAAATGGATGGAAAGGATGAGACAAATATTATGGACGAGTAAAATAGCAGAAAAGAGCAAGAAGAATAAAAATGTTTAGTTTGCAAAATTTGTGTACCGTCTGTATGTACGAAGTAGCTAAATGTAAATGCATCGTGGTCATATACTGTATAAAAAATAATGTTTTCAATAAATCTACCTATCTATTTAGTGTACTATAGTTATTATTTAATTTTATTTAAATATTTCCTGTATTACAGCAAAATCAAAAACGGTTGTAAAAAAAACTGAAATATTCTACAAGAAGAGCCTTAAAGTAAATTCAGAAGACAAGATGATTTTAAAAGAATGCATAAAAATTCAGAAAAGAAAATCACAAGGAAGAGATGGAAAAAGGAAAAAAACGACCTCTACGAAAGCTAAAGCAGTGTTTATAAAATTTGAAAACATATTTGGACAACAACGCATATGCTACTCAAAACAAACTGCCCCATGAGTCGTGCGTACAGAAGTATGTACGTGGCTCATTACAGTAAGACTTCGACATCTACAGAAGGAGAAACGTAGGTGCGTATTTCGTACGAAGCTAGTCTCGCATACGCTTTGTACTCGTTTCGACAATGCATGAACAAACGTTTATAGTCCAAGATCTCAGAGCCGCCAGATATTACTTATTTTTTGAGCAACAAAATGGGTGGGATAGGGTGGTGTTGGTAGCTACTTGTACACATGCCAATTTGGGCTGACGACCAATTTGCAGATATCAAGTGCTAAAAAACTTTACTCGCTTTTCTTAAAGTCTAACTGCCGATTTTTACATAATGTTTTACAGAATATTGTTAAAAATTAATAATCAACATTGCTAAATACTTCCAAATAAGGTGGTAATTTCTGCCAGACGCTTCAAAGTTCAAAAAAGAAATCATAATTTTATTTATAGTTTGGGTACTCGTTTTTAAAAATGATACGGGACTATTTCAATACTTTTTGTTAGCAGCTAGACCAATTGTAGGGACCAAACATTCTTCAGACACAAGTCGTCGTGTGTTGGAGTTGTTTCCAATGAGTCCGCATCCAGCATCGGAGATGGATGAACCTCTTAAGAAGATCGTCACTCGTGTTAGGAAGCAACACCAACATGCGACATCCTTTAGACCCACATCAGAACAACATCAGTTGACCCAAGATTGTTCAATTCTGGTCCGAGATTGGAAGTCATATTTCACCAAGTATAGCAAAAGCCTGATTGACAAGCTGGGTTCACGAATAGACAGTCAATGCTGAACAAAACTAACCAAAGATTGGGCAGTCAATATTGGACCAAGAATAGATGAATAATATTAGCCTACGATTGGGAAACCAACATTATGCCAAACCTTGGTGAACAATATTAACTCAAGATTGGTCAACTAATATTATGCCAAGACTTTTGATAAACAAAATTAATCCAAGATTGGGCAATTGCGTCCCTTTCCACCTTGGTCAAGACTTCGTTGCCCAGTATTGGATATAACTTGGCGAATCGTTTATATACCTAGCCTTGACCCTCCAAATTTGACCCAAATTTGGTCAAGTATTGACAAAATCATACTTGACTACCTAGTATTGGACCAAACTTGTCGAAATGTTGATGTACCTAACCGTGGCTGTTGAAGATTGACCGATCTTTGGACCAGTATTGATAAACCTATTTATGGCTTCCTACTACTGATCCGTTTGGACCCGTCGTCAACTCCGGCATTTCCTACATGGGTATGTTAACCCTACACTTTGATGACTTTCTAATATAGCGACATTTTAATTGTGTCTGGGGTATGTTTGGCCCCTACAATTGGTCTAACTGCCTACAAAATGTATTGAAATGGCTTCCTAAAGTATTATCTTTAAACATTAAAACCCAGACTATAGGTAAAATTCGTACGATTCCTTTTTGCGAACTTTGAAGCGTTTAGCAGAAATTACTGCTGGTGAGAAGTGTTTGACAGTGTTTATTACTTTTTAGCAATATTCCGTGAAACATTATGCAAAATTTAACTACCTACTTACGTTAGGAGCCCTAGTTATAAAACATTACCAAAGAAACTTCCTAAAGGAAAATTCGTGAAACAGAAATTTTTGAATTTAATTGAATTTTCATAAAATAGGGTCACGTACCTAGTTATAATAAAAACGCGAAAAAATTCTACCGACGAGCGCCAGTGACCCGTGCAGTCACACCCATTGTACATTTTATATATTCAACTGTCTTACTGTGTTTCTTGCATATAGACATCGTTCTAAGAACGCAATCCGTAATAATAAGCTAAGCCAACAGTCAACCTTTTTTTTCTTATTCTTAGAAGATGAGAATCGTGGTAATCGTGTCAATGTTTTCAATGCATAATATTTATTTATGTATTCGAAACAAGTCGATCACTGACCTAGTGTATACGTATGGACAGTTGGCCGGTCGGACCACCTACAAGTATCCGACATCTACCCTTTTGATAATCTGTAAATTTTCATATTCAATTGACGTAAAGACTTACGCGTAAATACACGCATTCCTATCCGCAAATGTGGATTTACATATTGAGGATCTCAAGCTATTGGAAATGCGGCGGTAACCATACTATATGACAGAAATGATACGATACGTTTCAAATAAATGAGGGTTCCTATTGACAAAAACTGGCAAAAAAACTCAAGGCAGAATATTGATCTAAGCTTTACACAATATTATCGAAGAAAGTGAGGCCTACAGGAGAAAATTTGATGAAATAAATCGAAATCTCATATCCGGATTTTGCTATCACGTCAGAATTTTAAGACACCGCAATCTCGAATTTCTGAAATGTCTCCTTTGACATACGAGGGTGCGTTTTTAAGTAGGTAGGTCATTAGTGAGGGTACTTACCCCAGTCATTACGAACTCATTATTAGTATAAATAGTAAGTTTTATCGTAATTAGATCAATAGTCTTTGAACTATCGTCGACGAAACAAGTCAATAGGGAACAAATTGTGAAATATGGAAAATCAGTTCAAACCATACTGGGAAAGATGTCATCCATTTACGGGGGCTCTTGTCCAGGTAAACCATGATTTACAAGTGGCATACCCTCTTTAAGCAAGGCAGGGACTCACTTGAAGAGGACCCACAGCCAGGCCGGCCGATCGAGGTGACCACTCCAGAAATCATCCAAAAAGTACCGAAAAATTAATACGGAAAGCTCGCAGAAATGGTAAGAGTATCAGATACAACCATTTTTAAAATTATTCACGATCATCTTGACTAATGCTAGCGCTAAATAGGTGCTGCGAATGTTCACCCCGTCTCAAAAACAACAGCGTCTGGAGTGCCTATTTGGACCTCTGTAGTGAAGATAAAGATGGAGTATTGACTCGAATTATTACTGGGGACGAAACTTGGGTTCATTATTATGAACCTGAGTCCAAACAGGACTCTATGCAGTGGCACAAAAAAGGCACACCGGCATCCAAGAAGTTTGAGGTGTAAGTCGGCTGGGAAAATTATAGCGACAGTCTGTTGGGACTCAGAAGGAATCCTGTTGATCGATTATGAAGATAAAGGTGTCTCCATAACCGCAGAATAGTATGCTTCAATCCTAGAGCGGTTAAAGGAAACAGCAAAGAAAAAAAGAGGAAGAAAATTGACCAAAGGTGTCCTTCTGCGCGACAATGTGCCTATTCACATTAGCCGTGTTGTGATGGCTACCCTACAGAAGGTCAGCTTCTAAATTTTGGTACACCCACCCCACACCCCTGACCTAACTAACAGCGACTATTACCTATTCCCAAAAAAAACTCTTCGTGGGAAGAAATTTTCAAGCGACGAAGAAGTGAAGGATGCAGTATTTTTCAAACACAAAACATTTTTTCAAGGTATACGTAAGTTAATTGAAAATTGAAGAAATTAAGTGAATATATTGAAAAGGAAAAATAAATTCGTACTTTTATTTCCACTTCTCACCCCCCATTCCGTGAACTTAAAAACGCTCCTCGTATACTATGTCTGATCAGTATTGCGGAAAATTAAGGGAGAAAAATGTACGTGAAAAAGAAGTAGAATGAGTCATCTCGCACCATATACCGACATAAACGTAAAACTCATTGACCTTACCTAAAGCCCCAACTACTCCGGCAATGACAGCGCTAACGCGTATTCACACCGACACTATGTGACCATCATGTTCGCATATTTTACACTGGTTTTTGTTTCATATTTACGTATAATCAGCTGTTGCGAAGGTCACGAATAGGTATGTGTGTTTCGTCAGTTGATGCTTGCGAGAGCGAAAGGCAATAAGATAACGCAGCTGCAAAACAGTTAACTGTTTCCGTTAATCTGAGGTACCTTTTGTGTATATTTTTTATATCCCCTACCCTTTTAATATACCAGAATACTGATCAGACATAGTGTATATTCGATAGTCTGTTCCGATAAAAGCTAATCATGCCACCATAAAGTACGATTCTTTTTTTTTAACATACATTTTTAAAGTCACAAGCCTTAATTGATGAAAAACATTAGTAAATATGAGGGAAAACAACTTGGAAGATTTTCATTAATAGTCGGAGAGCTAGGCACGAGATTTGAACGTCATATGACCAAGGTTTATGGTAACATGTTCGAATAGGATGAGGAGAGGGCTGCGAGTTACGTTTATAACAAGGGGTAGATGCAGAAAATGAAAGTGTCCTATTTATTCTTAAATTACGTCAATCAAGATAGTGCTCAAAATTTTACAGAAATGTAGACTTCGACATCCCCAGTTAAACCTCTGAATTTGGAACGGAGGGGGTGTCGAGTAAGGGCTAAGTAAACAAAAAATGATTGCAAAAAAAAAGGCAATCGGAGTTTGAAATAAGCTTCAAGGATATCAAGGGTTATGAAATTTTCCGTTCTTTTCGTTGCTGAAGTGAAAATCATGTTTTCCCAGTAAAAAAAAGACTTAACCTTGACAAATGATCTTGAACGTCAACGCCAAGGTTGCAGTTAAGGCTACCGATTCAATCTCCCGTCAAAAGTATGCAACTTTTGTTGAAAACTTTTTCCGAAATAATAAGCACCAGTCAAGATTTTCGGATTAGTTTGCAATAATTTTTGTAAAATTAACCCCTACCCGTCGCCTTTTGTTTCACTTTACGTGTCGGGCTTTCGGGAGTTTAGTTAAGTATGCTGAATTTTATATTTCTGTAAATTTTTGAACACATCTTGATGACGTAATTTAAAAAAATAGGATACTTTCACCCTGTCTAACTACTCTCTGTTCCTAGTGGACTGTCCGTCTGGTAAGAAATGTAATCTCCTCCACTTTCGGAACATGTTATCATAAAATTTGTCTATATACGTATTCCGAATAACGTTAAAACCTCGTGTCCCATTCATATACTGTAAATGTTGTGTTGTTCTCGTAGAAAACAAAAATTATAATTGTTTCGCCAAACGTTGCTTCGTCAGAATACTGTCTCTACAAGAGTATCAATAATGGAAAAATAATTTATCAAATTTAAATATCCTGCTTCATGGAATTTAAACAAGTGTTAAAAAAAAGATGTTTTATTGTCAACACTTTTCAGACAAATTGACAAGAAGAATATATGAGCTTTTCAGAGAAAAGATAAATCGTTACAAATTATTTATCTGTGAGTATATTATTCCAGTTACAAATAAGAAAAACGAGAAAATTCGTTAGAAAATGACCCACGGGAAATCATATAGAAGCTAATAAAAATTAAGGCTAATATATATTCAATATCTGATATTCGACTAAAGCCTTTCGAAGGCCCATATAAAACAAATAGGTCCACACAAAAAAAACCAAATTGCTAAGAACTTTGTAACGTAAATATTTGTAACAAAATATGGCCTAAGACCTAACAAAAATGCGAATAGAAAAATTTACTTACCTATATGGATTACGCGTTCTTTTCCAAAATTGTTAGGCCCCTCACAATTAAAGTTCTAAGATATATTTTTTTAAGGAAAATAATATTTTCAAAAATTGAACTCGACCTTTTTCTATTTCTAACAGCAGTATATTTATGTATTGTTTGGATAGCATTGATGATTTATGCTTAAAAATGCGCTTCTAGTCCTTTTAGGGCTCAGAAACACTACAATTCAATGTGCCTATTCATAATTTTAAAATAAAAAAGTACATTCAAGTATTGCACCTTTAAAATAGTTATTCAAACAAATTAAGATAGACAAACCATCAAACCATAAAAAATTCCTTGTTTGTGTATATTTAAAAAAAGACAAGGACAAAATATACAATAATATGAAAAATGACTCACCGTTACGGAACTGAGAAGAACCGGTTTCCGTTTCTGAATTAGCATCGAAACTGCTGGTCACGTGGTTCATCCTAATCCAGCCCATTTTATGAAATCTGGAACTTCGCGTACCGGCACATCTCTGGCAAGAGCTTTTACCCTCAAATTTCGATCATCGGTCAATAAAACTACTTCCCTAAATAAGTTCCTTGGTTCGCCTGGAACAATTAAACAATAACATCAAAAATATTGAAATAACCAATAAAAAACGGCTTACCTTCTACGACTTGGTCTTTACTATTCTTGCAAAGAACCAAACAAGTGGCCAGAATTTTGTCATCGTTCTTAAGGGTGGAATCTATAGATGAATCGTCTTCGACCGTGAAAGTAAACGAAGTCAATGTCGTACCTTTCGTAGTAACGCATTTTATATTTGGTTGGCGGATTTGTAAGAAATCTAAAGCCAACTTGGCAGCCACCGCCACTTTTTTGATATGACTTGGGTCTAGAACGTTTCGTGGTGACGGTAAAGGACCTTTTCCACCTTTAGCTAATCCTTCCAATTCGTTTAAAACTGGAATACAAGACGGAGAATAAATAATTAAAGGTTAAGCTGACAGGTGAAGAGAACTTTTCATTCCCACCAGTTACTACAGTGGGCAATGTCTCCGATACACATTCTAGTATAATAAAGCCGGAGGATAGAGCGGTAGTCTCTTCAGTATCGTTTTAGAAGTCGTGGAAATGAATGGGGTGGTGTTTTAGGAAAAAAGGATGAGACTGGCGAAATGAGGAAAATTACAATTTTACTTCTGGTGCAACAGTGTATTAGTTAATACAGCGAACCAGGCATAATATCACAAAAATCATTATCATTAAGTCGTTAGTCCTGAGCTAATCTTCGCATTTCCCTAAAATTAGAACAACCCACATCCTTAACTATTTATGAACATAAATCTAATCTATGTCTCCCTCTACCCCTTCTAACTTCCGTTTCTGCCTCAAATATAACTCTGACTAAATCTTCATGCCTGAGAAGGTGTCCTACTAACCTAGCTCGCCAATTTCTTATTGACTTCCATTGAGTCCTCTGTTCTCCTATTCTTTCTAATATCTCTTCATTTCTAAGCATCTCTATCCACGGTATCTTCATCATCTGCCTGTAACACCACATTTCGAAGGCTTCTAACCTTTTCTTTTCCGCCACGCCCACTGTCCATGTTTCGCACTCGTACAACGCCGCGCTCCAAACATACACCTTTAACAATCTTTTTCGAATTTCTAAATTAACCGTTCGCGAGCATAGAAGTGACTCCTTTTTATTAAAGGCGACACGACCCTGCTTTATAGCCCTACCACTCCTTCCGTCCTGACTTATCTGACTTCCTAGATACCTAAAATCAGCCACTTCTTCTAATTTTTCGTCTCCTATCTTTACATTCACTCGTTCCCTACTTTTTCTTCCGTTGCATACCAGTATTTTTGTTTTACCTTTACTTATTTTCAAATAGTACAGTTTTTTTGTACCGCTTCCATTTTATTGAAAGCTATTTCTAACTCCTCCTTGCTAGATGCTAATACTGCTATATCATCAGCAAATCTAAGCATACTAATCTTTAGCCTCTCTATATCTATCCATACAGTTGTACTGTCTTTAATGATGTCTGACTCCCTTCCTAATATTTACTTCTCTAATCACAAAAATACCAAGCAACTAATAACGATAACAAATTGCATATTCAATTTTTCTATTAAGAATTCTGATTCTATCAGGGTATCAAGTTTAGACCTGTACATACAATTTATTTTGAAATGTCTAACCTCAATATGAAATCAAAACATTTTTGGTATGAAATGATGTCGCTTGTCCGACAACCTACGTAGAAGACATATTTGTTTTATTGTTTTTCTAAAAATAGACTACAATAACCCCATTGACTTACCTACTAATGGTACCATTAGGGTGTAGACATGAGCAGAAGCAGCCGCTTTGATCATGTGCAAATAGTCGATGAAACAATTAGTGTCAGGTACGAGGATTTTTGGTTTGACTTCTATTTGCACACTTACCACTTGCTGACGTAAAATATTCTGTAACAAATGAAATAACTACACTTACAACTAGATCATTAAAGTAAAGTAAGTTTATTGGAATTTTTAGGATCAGCATTGTTACACCAACATATGTTGTTTTCAGTTTTTGTCCAAAAAATGCAAAATATTAAATGACTACAAATTTCATATCGCAGTGATGAACCGACAACAGCTCTTTAGGTAAGAGACCATTACGACGAGTGACGTAATTTTTTATTGAGATGCAGGGGTAAGCGTATCGTAATAATATAGATGTCTTTATCGAAGGAACGCCTAAAGTTAGAACTCCCATCAAGGTATTATTTAAAAAATCTTGAAAAGATCTGCCTGAACCTTATACCGATATTAGTTTTAACATAAACTGTACTGATTATAAAAACAGATATGTATATAGAAACATAAAAAAAAAACAAATTGATTCAACCTTTGTATTATTTATTAACATTTATTATTATATATATA